TGGAAGGAATGAAGGAAGGAAGGAAGGAAGGAAGGAAGGAAGGAAGGAAACAAACAAACAAACAAAGAAACAAAGAAAGAAAGAAAGAAACAAAGAAAGAAACAAACAAAGAAAGAAACCAAAGAAAGAACCAAAGAAACAAACAAAGAAATAAAGAAAGAAACAAAGAAAGAAAAGACCAAAGAAACAAAGAAAGAAAGAAACAAAGAAAGAAACCAAAGAAAGAACCAAAGAAACAAACAAAGAAATAAAGAAAGAAACAAAGAAAGAAAATACCAAAGAAACAAAGAAAGAAAGAAAGAAAGAAAGAAAGAAAGAAAGAAACCATCAAACAAAAAGAAATGAAAGAAAGAAAGAAAGAAAGAACCAAAGAACCAAAGAAAGAAATAAAGAAAGAAAGAAAGAAAGAATAAAAGAAAGAAAGAAAGAAAGAAAGAAAGAAAGAAAGAAAGAAAGGAAGAAAGAAAGAAAGAAAGCAACACCGGGATTGGCAGCCCACCCGCGCAAAGGATCTTTTGCGGTCGCTGCATTGGAGTCTATTCTTTGCTCGGAGGATCTGGAAGCCTCATGTAAGCTTGCAGAGGCACACAGTGCGTACACAAACCGATTGAGAGTTGCTTCTACCCATGACATGGCAAATGGCGTGACGGGGGTGTGCGTATATGTTCATGTGGCTGTGTACACATAATTATGAACATAGATAAACTATATATGCATACATATGGGAGTCCATAGGCATATACAAGCCGTTTTCACAACCCAATCCAAATAGTAGAACCGCCAGCTGAAACGCATATCCGACCCAGAAGTTTAGGGTACCAAAAACGGCTTGACCCCGGCCCGGCTTCCAGAACCTCCGGCATCCTAGGTGGATGCAAAGGTGGGCTCTTGGCAAGACTGCAGCAAGCGCCATTTAGGGGGCCCACCCAACCAAATCCACCAAACAATTTGCATCGATCTAACAGGATGGGCATCGTTTCCGGGAGATCTTTATATTCGGTACATTCCCACAACAGACAGGTTTCATCCAATAATGCCAATGTGCAGGATGCATCCTTGCACTTTGCCCACCTTTCTCTGCAATCCATCTGTTCCTGTGTACAGTCCGCTAGGCCACTACTCGGGTGCCACGAGACACTGGCTTCCATGGGAGCGAAGCCTTGCCCAATAGTTACCGAGTAGGTAATACAAATAACTTTTACAACATATTTTTCAAAAGTAGTAAAACCCAACTTAAGAGCCATTGTTTTTTTACAAGTTTTACAACTTAACAAACAATTAAACGCAAGAGGGCCAATGACTCTCTCAAGCGTAGTCCACCAGCATCGCCTGGCGCTCGTGGGGCTACTTTGGCTAGGCATGGGCTACACATGTAGGGTCGATGTGTAGCTTCTTCAGGAGGCATTTGGGTTGTTAGCTTCTTCGCAAAGAAACAAATTGCCCTGCAGTTGGTCAATGTTCATGCCTGCGCCTATCCTCAATACATTTATATATATATATATACAGTTATCAACTGAATGAAGCATCAAACATTCAACCATCCTCGCATTCAAGCATCCCGACGTGTTGCGCTCTCGAGGATGTTTGCAAACATCCAAGCATCGGATTCCTCAGCCATGCCATTTAGAAAACAAAAAAACAACTGGAGGAGTCTCGCAGTGCGCTTCGGCAGGACGCCTGGGCCACCTCGAGGACCTTGTCCTTGCCGCACAGCGGCTCCGCAATCTTCCTGCCGCGCCAAAAACCCGTCGTTTTGACGGGGCAGTGGGAAAAAAAAGGAACGAGCGGTCGAGGCGCAGAATGGCCGCACAGGTGACATAGTCGAAACTCCGGTTCTTAAAGGCCCGTGGGAGTCATCATGGCTCACTGGCGATTCAGGATCCTTACTAGGTGGATGAGAATTTTGGTGAAGCCCAAGCAAAGAAACCGGTCTTTTGACCACGCACATGGCCGCATCTTTGATACCTAAGCCGGAAAATCGCAAGACATGTGCGACAGTGCACTTTGTCTTGACTTTTGGACCCCACTTAAAGCCTTGTGTTGTATACCCAAGTGGTAGATTCCCATCCCAACCTTCTCACTTGAAGGGGGGCACTCGAAAGCTGCAAGAACCTCTTCTCGTTCCACCGGGGCAACCAGGTGATGGTGGGGTTCCCCACCCAATGGAAACCTCAACGCGGCCTTTCACCTCTGGGAGCCGATGCTTGCAATACTGCAACATCATTGCTGGCGGTAGCCAGAGCCAAACTAGCGCCAAAGAAGGCGACCCGGAGCAACCTGGCGCTTCATCGCAAAAGGAACAGGACAAGGACAAAAAAAACAAAATAGCAAAGATAATTTTTGCCGTCCTAACCCCTTGCCTCCCTTCCCAAATGTCCCCGGTCGGCCATGGGAAACGTCAACTGCGCCGGCACCGCAGCGCAAAGTGGATGCTGGTGCCCGGGCCCTGGCTCGTCACCACCTGGCCATCCATGACCTCAGCATCGAGGCGATCGCGCCACGTGTCGGAAGGGTTTGGCCGCGAGGCAAGCAGTGGAAAGCATGAGCTGCACGCATCTTGAGCTTCCAAAAGGAGCCTTGCAAGTCCGGATTTTGTGTAAATGACCATGCGATGTGTCTGTTTTGAGGGGACTCCTTTTTCGTGCCTTTAGAGGGAAACTACGGTTTTGAGGTGCCCTAAGAGAAGACGAGCCACCCATATTTCAACATCCATCAAGTCTGACACATGACATGAGCAACTGGCAAATCTTCCCTTTGCCAATGGGCGTGGCAGACCCCTTACTTGTGGCAGAGCTGCTCAGCAAGCCGTCAAAGAAGCACAGGCGTCCTCCCGACCCAAAACAAGAACCGGGTGTGTTTTTTGGTAGGGGACCCCCCAAACGGTGGTTGTCCTTTTGGTTTACCAAAAAACCAACAGAAAAAAAGATACCCTCAAAATCTGACGGAACCACGCGGAAAATCCCGATCTTCGGCAGCCTATGCATAAGTGCTGCCTGGACGCCGCCCGCGCATCCTGCCACTTCTCTCCCACAATCTCCTTGAACTTGGGGTTCGGGTAGCACCTCAGCTCCCAAAACCAATCAGCTTTTCTCTAATGGGTGGTTTGGATTGGTGGTTTGGAGGCTAACTCGCTGATTCTGGGAGTTGTGTCATCCGATTCCTTGGATTCCATTACTGACTTGGTTTAGGAAATGGAGATCCGCGAATTCAAAGCCCAAGTGCCAAAACTAGAATCAGGGAAACTCAATTGATATCCCGAGGCTGTAAAGCAGGAGGTCTGTTGATCAGCGGTTTGATATTGTTGCTTGGATATTCACGCATGAACTGGATTCACCCCCTTGCGGCGACTTTTGAACCTGGGCCGCAGAACGGAAAGCGATGCACTTCACTGTACATGCTGGGTCTCACAGGCTGCCAGTTCACAGCCACCGCCGAAGGGATCCGAAGACTCTACAAGCAAACAACTTCCCTGGACTGTACCAAAATGCCAACAAACCGCGCGGAATTCGACTCCAACCATGCAGCCCATACTGAAAGCAGGCTCTATCACCTCTTGAAGAAATCATTCTGGGTCCCGCGCGTAGCTTTCTCTGGCAACAGGCCATGGGTCCCAAAAACCACGGCCGGCGACCTTGCGCGAGTCGGTGAGATCGAAACAAGCGTGTCTAGCTGCCAATTAATGTTACGCAGCACCCACTCGGCTCCAAACAAAAAGGAGACGGAGGAAACGTCGTTCACTCAATATCCAAATGCTCGACTTCATGCTTGCCCAATTCCTTGGGGCCGCCCCAGCAAGTTGTGATTCGGCGTTGAGTTGGGGAAGACAATGCCAACAAACAACATTTCAGGGCACAAAGTGCGCCCCACCCCTTCTCTTCACACTCGCAGGTGTCGGGGTATCGGGCATAGTACTGTTCATGCTAGTTCGGCACTTGTCTGTGCACTTACTTCAAACATTTGGTCGTGTATTGCTGGGTAAACCTGGAGTGTTTGGTCAACTGCATCGAGAGTGTTGGATGTTCACAAAAAGGGGGCCAGATTTTGTTGATCAAAGCTTTCCCTTAATACATTCAACATGTTGCACAGGTGTCCGTCAGACGCAAAACTATTTGATATCCCAAAAGGGCGATCGTAGCTCATCTCCCGCATCAAGTCATCATCTCTGGCGGTGTACGTCCGGGTGTGTGTGTGTGTGTGTCAAAATAAGAGCACCCCAAACGTGTTCTTTTTGGTTCCCCTTTGAACCCACCCCAAAAAGGGTACCCTCGCAGCACGCACACTTGCTCGAAAGAAGTTTCGTGTCCAACTCCTAGCGCCAGGATCTAGAGGGAGGGTGACTTCCCAAAATGCGGTCATAACCATAGTCACGAATCAATGTCTACCAAAACCCCGGCTTCGCAGGCAAAACGGCCGGTTTTTGAAAAGAACAAAGGTTCAAGAGAATGGGGAATCAACCCCTGAAGAGTATCCTCCCCTAGCCAAAACAGTCAAAAAGGCGCCAGCCAGTGGCTTAATCGCCTCAGGAGCCCGGCGCGCACACAGCGGCCGAGATCTTGCCCTTGCTCGCCTGCTCCTGCGCTACAGAAGCCCAGCAGCCAAACAAACGGCTCTCGGATGTTTTTTTACAGGGGTTCATTTGCCACCTTTTAAAACAACAAGGTTCATATAACCACAACAACGAATGTAATCATCCAAATTGGGTCCCAAGGCTATTCTTTTCGTGGGGGTTGAACCCTAGGATGTGTTGACTGTGTTGTTGAGTACATTCAGGGGACGTTCTAACGAATGGGTTCCCATCGCTTCCAAAGGAAAATCATGAGCATCCTAAAGCATTCCATGTGTTGTTTATATGGTTGATGTGCTTGCTTGTTGTAGTAAGTGGGAACCAAAAGATGAAGGGCGCCACGTTGTTTGGTTGCTCACGAGGATTCAAACCCGTTGCATTTGAACGGAAATGAAAGGGAAAGCTTTGGAAGCCAAACAGCTATGATTTGGACAGGGAAACCAACCGGTCTAAAGCGCGCGCACGGCCTCCTTCAGCCAATACCCCTGAAAATAGAAGCTATGTCCTTTGCATTTAGTTCATCGCGCTTGTTGTGCAAATATACATATACAAGAACACATATATGATATATAATATATATACTATTGCTCTAGCAAGTAAATATGTTCTTTGCCTTGAGTTCTATTTATATTGAGGAGCAGACGAAACACTTTACTTGGCCCTAGTACTTTTTTGAATGTTATCGTTTTTGGGGAAAACCTTATCGTTTTACAGTGTTTTCGAAAATTGGCAGGTCCGGATCGAAAATCGCAACTTTGTAGTACCGGTCTAGTACGCGAAGTACACTTACTTCCGAAGCTCCAGCTCGAAAATCGCAACTTTGTAGTGCAAGTCTAGCACGCGAAGTACACTTCCGCAGATGCAGCTCGAAAATCGCAACCTTGTAGTACAAGTCTAGTACGCGAAGTACACTTCCGCAGCTCCAGCTCGAAAATCGCAACTTTGTAGTACAAGTCTAGTACACTTCCGCAGCTCCAGCTCGAAAATCACAACTTTGTAGTACAAGTCTAATACACAAAATACACTTCCGCAGCTCCAGCTCGAAAATGGCAACTTTGTAGTACAAGTCTAGTACGCGAAGTACACTTCCGCAGCTCCAGCTCAAACACCGCAACTTTGTAGTACAAGTCTAGTACGCGAAATACACTTCCGCAGCTCCAGCTCAAAAATCGCAACTTGGTAGTAAAAGAAGAGTACGCGAAATACACTTCCGCATCTCCAGCTCGCAAATCGCAACTTTGTAGTACAAGTCTAATACACAAAATACACTTCCGCAACTCCAGCTCGAAAATGGCAACTTTGTAGTACAAGTCTAGTACGCGAAGTACACTTCCGCAGCTCCAGCTTGAAACTCGCAACTTTGTAGTACAAGTCTAGTACGCGAAATACACTTCAGCAGCTCCAGCTCGAAAATCGCAACTTTGTAGTACAAGTCTAGTACGCGAAGTACACTTCCGCAGCTCCAGCTCGAAAATCGCAACTTTGTAGTACAAGTCTCTAGTACGCGAAGTACACTTCCGCAGCTCCAGCTTGAAAATCGCAACTTTGTAGTGCAAGTTTAGTGCGCGAAGTACACTTTCGCAGCTCCAGCTCGAAAATCGCAACTTTGTAGAAAAAGAATAGTACGCAAAGTACACTTCCGCAGCTATAGCTCGAAAATCGCAACTTTGTAGCACAAGTCTCGTACGCGAAGCACACTTCAGCAGCTCCAGCTCGAAAATCAAAAGTCTAGTGCGCGAAGTACACTTCCGCAGCTCCAGCTCGAAATTGCAACTTTGTAGTACAAGTCTATTGCGCGAAGTACACTTCCGCAGCTCCAGCTCGTAAGTCGCAACTTTGCATCTCCGGCTCAAAAAAAACCTTTTTAGTACAAGTCTAGCACGCGAAGTACACTTCCGCAGCTCCAGCTCAAACACTGCGACTTTGTAGAAAAACAATAGTACGCGAAGTACACTTCCGCAGCTCTTTTGTAGTACAAGTCTACTACGCGAAATACACTTCCGTAGCTCCAGCCAGCTCGAAAATCGCAACTTTGTAGTACAAGACTAGTACGCGAAGTACACTTCCGCAGCTCCAGCTTGAAAATCGCAACTTTGGAGTGCAAGTTTAGTGCGCGAAGTACACTTCCGCAGCTCCAGCTCGAAAATCGCAACTTTGTAGCACAAGTCTAGTACACAAAGTACACTTCCGCAGATATAGCTCGAAAATCGCAACTTTGTAGCACAAGTCTCGTACGCGAAGTACACTGCCGCAGCTCCAGCTCGAAAATCGCAACTTTGCAGTACAAGTCTCTAGTACGCGAAGTACACTTCCGCAGCTCCAGCTTGAAAATCGCAACTTTGTAGTGCAAGTTTAGTGCGCGAAGTACACTTCCCGCAGCTCCAGCTCGAAAATCTCAACTTTGTAGTACAAGTCTAGTACGCAAAGTACAATTCCGCAGCTATAGCTCGAAAATCGCAACTTTGTAGCACAAGTCTCGTATGCGAAGCACACTTCAGCAGCTCCAGCTCGAAAATCGCAACTTTGTAGCAAAAGTCTAGTGCGCGAAGTGCACTTCCGCAGCTCCAGCTCGAAATTGCAACTTTGTAGTACAAGTCTAGTACGCGAAGTACACTTCCGCAGCTCCAGCTCGTAAGTCGTAACTTTAGTAGTACAAGTCTAGTACGCATCTCCAGCTCAAAAAAAAACTTTGTAGTACAAGTCTAGCACGCGAAGTACACTTCCGCAGCTCCAGCTCAAACACCGCAACTTTGTAGAAAAAGAATAGTACGCGAAGTACACTTCCGCAGCTCTTTTGTAGTACAAGTCTACTACGCGAAATACACTTCCGTAGCTCCAGCCAGCTCGAAAATCGCAACTTTGTAGTACAAGACTACTACGCGAAGTACACTTCCACAGCTCCCGCTCGAAAATCGCAACTTTGTAGTACAAGTCTAGTACGCGAAGTACACTTCCGCATCTCCAGCTCGAAAACCGCAACTCTGTAGCACAAGTCTAGTACGCGAAGTACACTTCCGCAGCTATAGCTCGAAAATCGCAACTTTGTAGCACAAGTCTAGTACGCGAAGCACACTTCAGCAGCTCCAGCTCGAAAATCGCAACTTTGTAGCGCAAGTCTAGCACGCGAAGTACACTTCCGCAGCTCCAGCTCGAAAATCGCAACTTTGTAGTACAAGTCTAGTACGCGAAGTACACTTCCACAGCTCCAGCTCGAAAATCGCAACTTTGTAGTACAAGTCTAGTACGCGAAGTACACTTCAGCAGCTCCAGCTCGAAAATCACAACTTTGTAGTACAAGTCTAATACACAAAATACACCTCCGCAGCTCCAGCTCGAAAATGGCAACTTTGTAGTACAAGTCTAGTACGCGAAGTACACTTCCGCAGCTCCAGCTTGAAACTCGCAACTTTGTAGCACAAGTCTAGTACGCGAAGTACACTTCCGCATCTCCAGCTCGAAAATCACAACTTTGTAGTACAAGTCTAATACACAAATACACTTCCGCAGCTCCAGCTCGAAAATCGCAACTTTGCAGCACAAGTCTAGTACGCAAAATACACTTCCGCAGCTCCAGCTCGAAAATCGCAACTTTGTAGTACAAGTCTAGTACGGGAAGTACACTTTTACAGCTCCAGCTCGAACATCGCAACTTTGTAGTGTAAGTTTAGCGCGCGAAGTACACTTCCGCAGCTCCAGCTCGAAAATCGCAACTTTGAAGTACAAGTCTAGTACGCGAAGTACACTTCCGCAGCTCCAGCTCGAAAATCGCAACTGTGTAGTACACGTCTAGTACGCGAAGTACACTTCCGCATCTCCAGCTCGAAAATCGCAACTTTGTAGTACAAGTCAAGTACGCGAAATACACTTCCGCAGCTCCAGCTCGAAAATCGCAACTTCTCAGTACAAGTGTCGTATTTACGAAGCACGAAAGTGGCGACTCGCCTTCTCGTTTTACGGTGGCCACGCAAGGGTCCCACTCTAACTAAGTTGCAACTGCAGGGGTTATTATAGAGCCGTGTGTTAGCTAAGGGTTATCGTTTTTGGGGGAGACCTTATCGTTTTCCATGGTTTTGGCATGTGTTATGCAAAAGCGTACCCCGCCTTGATAAAGTGGTCTTCGTGTGTTTTGTCCGTGGCTCGTACATACACAACTATACATGTTCCCCAAAGCCGAGAAGTCGAAATGTTTTGGCCCCCAAACAGCCCAGGATGTCCGATCGCCAATCGCTCGCCTTGAGCAGCTCCACCAGCACTGCGCTGTCCCTCAAGTGCTCCGCCCCTGGCATGCCTGGCTGCCGGTCCGTCAGGACCCCGACCCCGGGGCCCGGGGCCCGTGGAGCGCCCTGCAAATTCACCGGAAACCCGAAACGGGGGGTCCCCCAAAACGGAAGTTCCGCCAAAAAGGGCGGGCTTCTTGGAAAACCCGCAGTTCAGCTGGGGAGTATCTCTATGGTTACTTTGCTTTTTCACCAAACATCTGGTGTGGGCAAAATGCCGTCAACCAACCCTTTCCTGGCGCCCTTTGAATGGGGAATCAACAGGATGATTCCCAAGACAATAGGTGCTAAAGTGGCGCGACCAAGAACCAATGCTTTTCTCCGACCAAAAGTTCCAACGTATCCAACCACTGGAAATGGACATAAATGGATCGATCTGGCAACCAACCAGGACCTTCTTACTAGTCTGCTGTTTCTCAGACCAACTTGCTTCATGGCAGGCTCATTCAAGACATTGCCAACCATTTGCTTTCATCTCCGTGCGGTCAATGTGTTCACACGGTATTTGGAAGGGGCTAGGACCTCTGAATAGCAAGACTATGCCAAAATGTCCGAGCGATTTATCGCTGACGGAAAGTCGTCTTGCCGGCTTCCCGCCTGCCCTCTACCATCCTGCAACACGGAAACACAATTCGACAACACACCAAATACCAAACGGGGCCCAACAGATGAAAGAATTCCTGGCCCCAATCTGAGCCTGGGAAACGTTTCCAATTTGGTGGTGAAAGTCTTCTATTGTGTGATTTCCCCGACAGTCATCCCATGTTCGGACCTTTTGATCAAACCCCCACATGCCCCAAAGCGGCCCGGCCCCGAACTTTCGAACGTTCGCCTCCCGGCAGGGCGATCGCATCCCAGTCTTGTCCCTTGCAATCCTCGATGGCGCAGTTCGCCACCACCTCCCAACAGCGCCAAAGGGCGACCGAACTCGGCCCATGGACCTATGGCAATGGTTGGGGGGGGTCTTTTCTTGGCCTTGGTGCCCCTTGTTAGTGGTTGTGAAAGGAAACAAAACACCATTATGTGGTGTGTTGCTGCTTGTTTTTTTTTTGAAGTTGGGGGCCCAACAAAAAAAAACACGCCTAGGTAGCTCTGTGTCCTGTGTTTCGACAAGTGCAAACTGGTCCTTAGAACAGGAGAATGAGATATGTGTGAATCAGATGTCATTGCAAGCAAGTTCACGAGAGCCATGCAAATGGTGAAGTGTGGGCAGATCTATATCTGTATACGTACTTCTATCTAGTGTCTGGATATTGTGTATATGCAATGTGTATGTTGCATCGGTCTTAGGAGGCTTTGGGAGTCGACTGTATACGCCCTCATGGATTCCCACACTCCCTCCCGTCAAAAGTAGCATGATAGACTACAGAGCACATCCTTTGGGACTGCTTGCTCGCAACAGCCACGCTCGATGCCTTTATTCAAGCAGTCTGTGCAGGCTTTGCAAAGATCTGCAATGTGTTGTTCATACAATTCCCACAGCTGAATTACGGGATCCCCGAGTATCGGACCTTCATCATGGTGAGCTCGTTATGCTCCCGGGTGAGCTCGCGACAACATAGGCAGAAGATGCTTGTTGAGTCGTCGGAACAGTCCGGACAGACTGTTGGAGCCTGCATAAGCCCTGAAAGCCTCGCCCGCTGGTCATCACCCGACACTTCCCCATTCAGTTTCCAGCATTGCAACAGAAACAAAATCCAAACACATGCGAATGCTCTGCATCCACAGTTCTCCCACCAAACTCGATGAGCTTGCGGAGAGTGCGTATGGGTTTGTCTCAAAACAGGAACCCTCAAAATTGGTGGCTTTCCCTTCGGATTTCCTTTAAAGCCTTGGACAAACAAACAAGCGGGGATACGGAGGGAACGAGGATATGGGGGGATTCCCTTGGCGCCATTTGCCATATCAATCTTAGTCAAGGTGCATTTAGGGGGAATCCTCCCGTATCCCTGGTTCCCCCTGTATCCCTGCTAGTTGGTTTCCCTGAAAGCCACCCCAAAAAGATACCTTCAAACAAAAACACACCACTGTGTAGGTCCCAAGCATGCATAAGCAAGACTCAGGCCGGAGGACTGCATCTTAATTTGCCGGCCTCAAAAAGCATGGCCTGGCCGTCTCCTTTGGAGCCCGTGCCTCGAGATGGATTCTTGGTATGGCTCAGGTGAACCAAGCCATGTTTTTGCGTCCCTGACTGAGAAACGCGCAAAACGACACGCTCACAAGAAGGACCTCTCGCTCAGTTCCCCTGTGCCTCGCGCGACAGACCAAAACCCCCCAAAGCCCGCGGATCCGCCTGCAGGCCGCGGGACATCGTCACCTGGCCGGAGGCGTTGAGGCCAATCATTCTGCCCGGGGAGGGGAGGGGGGGAAGTGAGGAGCCAGGGGTAGCAAAGCGCCCAAAACGTCACCACTTGCCAAAGTCACAAAAGCTGGGAGTGCTTTTTTCCCCAACAACCTCCAGATAAACCACCCAACTCCATAGCCCCACCCAGAAAACCCCCAAAACCTCCAGATAACCCCTGGTCACAACTCCCTGGCCCCCAACTCCCAGCTTTTGTGGTCGCCCGCCTGCAGGCCGCCGGGCATCACGCTGGCGGTGACCACCTCGCAGCCGCAGCGCACCAGCGTGTCCGTGATGCAGGAGGTCTCGATCTCCTAGGAAAAACCCAAAACAACCCCAACCCGGTGGCTGCGGAGGTGCAACGAGCTCAGGGATGACAAGTGTTATTGAAAATCCCCCGTCCGGTCATGAGTCATGAGCAACTGGACCCGGGTGCAAATGTGATGAGAAACGGCCCGGCACGGAGAACGAGTCGGCCGTGGGAAACTTTTCGGGGTGGATGACTTTGAGTTGATGAACACGGTCAATGCAATCTGCACAGGGTGACTATTCGAGCCGCGGTGGAACAAGTTGAGGGTGAGGGCTACGAACCGGCCTCGAGAGTGTCAAGATTTGTTTGGTTGCCTAGTGGGAGCTCGAAATGATCTGTTGCCAACCCAGCCACTCGAATCTCAGTTTCAAACAGCATTAAACAGAATCCTGCATGGATAAAGTGAGGTTCTTCCTCAGCAAGTGGGCACGAATGTCGTGCAGTTGAGCCACTGCGCAATTTCAGCACTGTTAATGAAAGTCCAGGTGTCCTTGTTGAGGCTGTTCTCAAAGCTCGACGAGCTTTTCAAGTGGCTTCCGTCCTCAAAGTTCATAACGGAGTCATATCCTCAAAATCCAGATGGAGGAAGCTTAACGCCCGTCAATTTCACTCGCTGAACTAATGGCCGGGCTGCCATCGGGTCGAGGGGTGGAATGATGCCCCTTGCGCATGAAGCACCTGTTGCCGGCCTGCTTCCCAGAAGTCGTCCTAAATGTAAAGAAATCGACTGTTCCACTTTCTCCACAAGAAAGCGAATGTCCACCGGCCATTTGAAGAAAGTTCTTTGGAGTCGATCCAGCACTTGGATAGTTCAGTGGGTCATTCTCTCAGTCCCTGAGACGGGCCCCACGAGTTGATCAAAGTCGGCCCATAAGTAGAAAGCAGCAACCCGAAGTAGTTGGCTAAAGGGAAATAACCCCGTGTTTCCAAGATCAAAAAAAAATGGTTCTGACTTTGACAACCCCCAGAACAGTGTGAGAACCAGCAAGGTTCCCACCCGTGGCCCATGCCTCAGACCCATCGGCCACGGGAACCAGAACCTGCGTCAACGCGACCCCAACAAAACGGCAAGCAAGCCGCTGCCGCTGGGGGAGCGAAATGAGGCAATCCTTTGCCCTTTGGGCATAGCTGTGCTTTTGGGAAAATCGATGGTGGTGAATGGTTAAACCAATAGGCTATCAGGGCCCTTTGCTTCCCAACCGAACTGAACAAAAGGACACCTATGCCTTTGGGTTGATTGCTGCAACTTGTGACTGGGGCAGTCCATAAAAGTGAGGTAGATACTGGACCGCAACCAACAAGCCAAACTCTGAATTCAGCAACCCAACTTGCCACCAACTTGTAATCTCAAGTCTGGAACTGATCTCGAGTCCGCACAATCCTTCATCCAAAGGCAGCGGAAGAAACACCCACAAGCCACGCTGCTCCAGCGACTTCTATGCACAGCCTAACCCACTTTGGCCCAACTCCGCGGTACACCAGAAACAATATGTTGGGATTTCGGATTGCGGTTCATAGTTGGCCAACCACACAATGCATGTATTCTGAGGAGACCCCGGTTCAGGTTTACTTACTCAATGTCCGCAAGCAAGTCCTCCGGCCTGGCGAAGCTGGCAATAGCCAAAACAAGAGAGACTATGAACCACTGGGCGAACAGGTTTCGCCATCTATCGCCCCTCTTCCCGTTCTGACCTGACGTCGCGCTGGGACCGGCTGCAACACAGACTGCACAGACTGCAATGATGCTCAGATGTATGCCGCCTGAATCTTCTCCGATCACTCCCCAAACAAGCGACTTGCAGCTAAGACCATGGCAACAACAGAAACCTGGCCGTCCCCAGACCTGGTCGCTTTGTGTTCTCAAGCCCTGCGATCCCATTTGAGGCAAGCATGCCAGAAGCGGTTTTGAAACACAGGGTGAATACATGAACTAGGAAACCACGCACCATGGCTGCCTCGTGACTTGCACTGTACGTGTGCCTTCGCTGATCTCAGCCAACCCGGGAATTGGGATTGGGGATTGTGGGAAAGTACGTGAAGGGATGTCTGTCCTCCCTTGTTCAAAGGCCGGGACATTCATGAATATCACCACACACCCAACCCGCCTTCGGCTTCGGCATTGCTTCCAAGGCTGAGAGCTCGCGCGAGAGCTCTAAAGCTGCCAGCCAAAGCTCAGGAGATCTCCGAGAGAGCCGCCCAAAACGAAGGGGGGGGGGGGGACTTTTTGAGGCGGCGTTGAGCTCAACGCCAAGCAAACAAGAAGAAGCCCTGCACACAAGCGTCCAAAACGGAGCTTCACCTTGAGTCTTGGCATTTCAACAGCTAATGGCCTGTAACCAAAAGTCCAGACTTGGAGTGATAACCACATGTGCCAATTTAGTCACGGAGCTGGTAGCCGGTTGGCAAGAGAATCGCGAGAATGCCTTGATCCTCACAAGACTCCCATGTGGCAGCGATATCTTTTTGAAAGGTCCCGTGGATGGACGAAATGCAGAACCACTTAGAACCATAAGAAACCTTTGTTGGTGGGTATTTACAGGGGAATCATCATTCCAGGGTATTAGGTGGTTCCCACATTTAGAATAATGAAGTGACCTCGGCGACGAGCCAAGTCTTCAGCAGATGTCCAGTATATGCTCATGAGGAAATTGGCAGACAGGTCGCCTGAATAGCCTTCCAGGCGAAAAAGCACATAAAATATCGTTGCGTTTCTCTCTTGAGGGCATGATCACGCCAAGCTAAAGCAGGCAAAACAAACAATTTTCCCAACTCCGCTCATTCCTTTAAAAACAAACAACAACACAAGACACGCACGGAGACTATGTGTAAGTTGGTCTTTGATCCCCTGCAAAAAGCGTTGATTGTTGCTAAGCAGGGCGAAACCATATTGTTCAACAGGCAAAAAGGAGAATCAGCCGGTGAGCAAGCAGGAAAAAGTGGCATCCAGAGATCTTTCACCTTTTGCCATGGTTCCGGGTGCTTTTACGCAAAGACCGTGTCGTTTCCAAAGCAACCCGCTCTCTGCTTGGATAGAGAGTAACCATGGTCACAACCCATTGACCTTGTAAGTCCCCAGAGTGGGTTCTAACCAGGTTACCAACTCTCACTAAGTGCCCCGCCCATTGTCCTTCTTAGGCCAAACATATAGCTAAAGATAGATGAAATCGAATTGTTTCCCGAGTTTACATGTTAGAGTAAGATTCCCTTTTGCCAACACCTTAGCCTTCTAAACAAGAAGAGCTTCTTGTTTGTCTTCTTCCTTCTTCTCCTTCTCGTTCTCCTTCAATTTCCGCGCTCAAGTCAAGACACCTGGGCTTGTCTTTTTACGTACCGTGTTTGAGTTGTTTTAAGGGGAAAACAAAGGGAAACCCACCACTTTGATGGTGCCGATTGCTTCTTTGAGCTGGGCCCCTCGGCACGCAGGCGTCGCAGGACTGCGCGGCCCCACAGCTCCGCGGCCTAAGTTCGCAGAGCCAATGGCGGGGCTACGAAAACGGCCGACGTTGGAAAAGTGAGGCGCGTAGTTCCTTGGGGGAAGGCCCTTTTTACCTTGCATTTGATGCTTGGTGTCCTCTCTTCTTGGCGTACACCTCGGGAACAACCTCTTCTTGATTCTAAAGGGAAATCAACAGAAGCGCAAACATAGCAAGCAACCAAAGTAAAAACAAAATCCAGGAGAGCAATAGCAGCGACAGCTGCATCTCTCATCCGTTCTCGTGGATTTCACCTGTTTTTCTCCTTGGTTTGTTTTGTAGTCTTTTAGTTCTGTCTTGATATTCTACAGGGGTGGATCCACAACAGCCACACCCCAACCATATTCTAGAAAGATGTCTGCCCGACTTGCTGATAAGTCGCTGAGCAGCTTTCGTCAACACGTTCGGAGACAAGCGACTGGCTTCCTGTACCCGTATATCAGCTGGGATTTCTCAGTTGCAAGGAGAAATCTCGACGGATGCAAATAAGCTCCAGGTTGAAACATGCAAAACAAGACAAGCGTGGTTACCCTCTTGTCCACTGACATGGACCCACCAGAGGGTCTCTTCTAAAGGGAGATAGTCTTCCAGAAGCGCTCAGTCAGGTTCCATGTTAGTGGACGGAAGGGCAGTCCCCGATTATGACGCTTTTTGTACCTTAGGTGGCAAATGCTTGGAACGCCTCCCCAGCGCCATTCCGCATACCCGACTCACGCATCCAGCAACAACTGGGGTGCTGCCTTTCCGAGTTAGCCCCCTACCAGTTTTAGAGGCCGAAACACCCGCCAGTCTTAGAGGACAACATCGAATGAACGGTTCCATCCACTGCCACTCCCAGTCCCGGGGTCCCACACGCACATCCGGCCTGACAAAACTGCGCGAGTCCACAAATGCGGAGAGTCATTTTTGGAGGCTACCCTCGCGGAGGGAGGAAACTCATAGCTGCGTTCTTCTACCCCTGGCGGCGTGATCAGCAAGAAGGTGAACCGCGGATTCCCCGCTGGAAATGACCTGAACAACTCATTCTTTCTGTTCACTCTGGTTTGCAAATCGGGAACAAATCCACCAGCCCTGGCAAATGATCCTTCTTGTTCCCTCCAGGGTTTCCTTTGCACCCAGCGAGAAAATGAGGCACACTTAGACCTCCGAGGGAGGGTGGTGATCTTCGAGTTGGATCGCGCTCAGCCTTGTAGATTTCGAGTACAACGGGTTCAGCTGGCGAGCCATTGTCCCTCTAACGCGAAAACGCTAGTTCAGAACAAAAGCACTTACAGCGAGACAACCAGAGGGCCAAAAAGACTTTGCATGACTGCTGCAGGTACACAACGCTGATCAGGCCTTGCTTCCCACTCTCGCCCACAGCTTCGTTGCGTGTGGTAGGACGAGAGTGCCACACGCTCCGGTGAAACTGTTGGTACCTGGGTTGATCAGAGACTCCACACACACACACACACCCCAACCCCGCGGCTTCTGCGAATTCGGGTTCGCCTGCAGCTGCTGCGGAGTGCAGCTGAAGCTGCAGTTCCCCGTGGGCCTCATGCTTGATGGCCAACCGGGTGAATCACTTCTTGGAAGTGTTCACTTGTTCGAGTTCCCTGGAAGGCCCCAATTCACTGACCACTACTTTCAGGGTGGCTGTTGGCTTTGACCCAGGCCTGACAGCGCCACAAACAAACAGATGTTGTGTTCAGTAGCCTTCAAATATACAACCTTCACAGCCATTGCATCACAAATGGTTGAAAGCCTGCAAAAGGTCAACAAAACTCAATGTAATTAAGTTGCAAAGTAGCAGCGGCAATATGAAACCAATCACATGAAAGGCTCTTGATTGTGAGACATGGCCGAGTGGAGACGGCACTTCAATTTAACTCGCTGCATGTCGTTCACATTGTATGAGTTCAGATGCCGGAGCTCCACTGTTCAGAGGTTCCCTTAAAAAAGATCATAGTCGAATTTCCGAGTACGACCCGTGGGCAACTGTCCTGCGCTGACTGTTGCAGCCGCTTCATCCACTTCGAGTGACAGCACGCCCCACAGCTTCCGAACCTTTGACGCACCAGAACATTCCGGGCGAGCTTACATGGTGACACCGGAGCAGCACGCTGTTCATGCCACACCGCCCCGAATGGACCGGGAGGATTCAACGTTTGAGTCGCCGAAAGCGAGTGACCCATGAGACCGACGTCTGCAAAAATCATGATTGGATTAGTCTTCGTTTCAGCTAACTTGCAAAGGACGTACGGCAATCGCGACCCATCTGCCAAGCAACGCCCAGCTCTCTGCGAAGCACCGGTGCCTCCTTTGTCTCTGCTCGATTTCGGCTGGCCATTCCCCCAAGATGACTCTCATGACAGGGATTCGGGAAGCTATATGCTTGGTCACCAATTCTCGATGGCATCTTCGGTCATGGGTGGGAGTACTGCAACAAAGCTAGATGCCTGCTCCATGCTTCGGTCGACATGGGTGTGGCTCAAAATGAAACAGCTGAGGTTGCACAGGTTTTAGTCTTGCTTCCATATACCAAGGTGCCATTGT